AACTTCCCTGCACCGTGATGTCTCTGTGACCTCACATCACAGTGGCTGAAAACTTTCACTCAAGTGAGCTGGCTGAGGGCCCTTTTTAAAAAAAATAAATAATACATTTCCTTTTGCATTTTTCAGGCTTGTTTATTCTTTTTTCCCCTCTGGAGATTTCTCCCAACTTTATTTTGAAACATGTCCAAGTCCTTTTCTAAGGCAGAGGGGAATTTTAGGTTCTGCAGAAAGGAGTGAGGACAGGGTGAGGTCAGGAGACAGGACCCAGGCAGGCGGCTCTACTCCAGTGCTTCCAGCCCCGCTCTCTGGCAGCTGCCCATGGACCCCACAAGTGTCCGTGCAGTCAGCTGCACTCTCCCCACTGCATACCATCTGCTGGGAAGAGGCTTTTCCTCCCTCCATTCCACCACATTCCTCAGCCACCTTATTGGGAACTTCTTTTCCAGGGAGTGGCCCTGAGGCTCATCTCTGGGGCCAAGGGGCCAAGGGACCAAGGCCCAGATTCTTCTGGCCACCCCAGTATGCTTGAGACCCAGGTACCGCCACACAACACACTCTGAATGAGGATAGGAGCCGCAGGGGACAGAGGCAGACACATCAGGCCTGTGAACCCCGGGACTATAGGGCCTCAGGGACAGGGGTGGGGAAAGACAGGGAGGAAGCTGAATTTTCCCAGGCAGCACAGCCCTGAGAGGTAAGAAGGGTCCTTGCTTCACTTCCTCTCTTCTCCGTGACACACAGTACAGGGGAAATAGCCTCTCCACTGGCTTGTGAGAACCTCAGGGCAAGGCCATGTTTTCTCACCTGAGTCCCGCCTGCCCCCAGCCCCATCCCGAGAACCTAACACACAGCAAATGACGTCTCCCCTGCTTGGAACACTCTCCCTGCACAGTTCCTATCCCCAACCTGGCTAATTCCTATTCACATTTCAGTAAAAATAGTACCTCCTCTAAAAGGCTCGCTCTCTCTCTCTCTCTCTCTCTCTCGCTCTCTCTCTCTCTCTCTCTCTCTCTCTCTCTCAGAAACACACACACACACACACACACACACACACACGTGCGCGTGCCCTCCCAGTTCCCATAATGCCCTGTGCTTCCCCTACTGCAGTGCTTCTTCCACTGTCTGAGGGTGGCGGCTTACTTATCTGTCTCCCAGCACTAGGCGGTGAGCCTCCTGGGGGTTTTGCTCCTATCATCTGCCCAAAGCTTGGTATAGATAGAACCTGGAATCCATCAGGTGCTCAATAAATGTTCCGAGTGCATTCAGGAGCCATTTAGTAAGCGCCAGCCATGTGCTCACTAAGAAGGTGACATATTTTATACCTTCCTGACATGAACCCTCTCAACTTATGTGGTGGGTACTATCATTCCTCTTTTTCAGAAAAGAAACCAAGACTGAAATACTGACTGGTGGACACAGAGATTTTAACCTCCATCTGACAGGCTTCAAAGCGTATACTCCTAACTATTAGACTAAACGATTCCCCTTCCCTGCCTCTCAAGGGCCCTGGGAATCCATTGCAGAGAGAACTGGGAGTGCCCTGGCAACCTGGGGCAACCTCGCATCCTGGCTCAGGCACAGCAATGTTCCTGCTCTGGCACCTGCTTCCCATCCCAGGATGCCTTTTCTTCCAGTGATGCTTTTACCCAGGTGAGGGGCCCCAACCCTCGCCCCAGGCCCGGCCCTCGTGCAGAGTCCAAAGGCTCAGAAAGGACCTCCTGGGCTGGATCCCCTCATCTCAGTGAGAAAACAGAGACCCTGGCAAAGAGAATCCCAGGCTGGGTCTGGATAAAGTGATGTGGGCTGGGGGTTTCAGACTGGGAGGTTGTTGCCTGGGACAGCAGGGATGTTCTGACGGATGGTCAGGGCCTGGGCTCTTGGCCTCACCTCACCACCCACGCACTGGGCCATTTGGACCAGATGCACCTTCAGGCCTAGACCTGCCCTGACTGCAAGAACACAGAGGCCATGAGCTCCCTGCCACCAATGATTGCTGCTTCCTTCCCAGGTCACCAAGGCAATTTCAGGCCAGTCGGGGGATCTGGGCCCCATATCTATAGCTCCTTCTGCTTTCAGAAAGGCTTCCTTCTTGCTATTCCAACCTCCGTTCATAGCCTGATGATACCCAGGAGGCAATGCAGGGACTGACATTTACCAAACATTTACCAAGACAATCAGAGCACTAGTGTTCTGCACTAGTCATCCTTGCAGCCACCCTGAGTGGCAGGTACTGTTATCAACCCCATTTCACAGATGAGGAAAACAGAGGCTCAGAGAACTAAAGCATTTGCCCATGGTGCAACAGCTCATAATGGCAGAGTCAGGGTGGGCTTCCTGGGCAGTCCAGCCCTCGCTCTCTCCACCACATCACCCAGTTTAGTTAAACATCTTCAGTGATCCCACTGACCATCAGAGAAAGCCCAAATGTTCTGACTGATATCTGAAGCATCTGAGGCTCTGCACTGCATGCCCCATGCTGCCTTTCCAGCCTCACTGCCCACCAAGTGCCTGCACCTACCCCATATTCCCCCCGGATGATGTCTCAGTTCCATCCTTTGCTCCGGCTCTTCCCCTGGCCTAGAATGCCTTTTCTGTGCTTTTTCACACTCGGCGAGCCTATCCCCCGTCCCTGCCTCCTTTTACTCCCTTACTTTTTAATGAAACATTCCCTGACCTTGTGTTCTATCTAACCCACTCAGCGCTGCCCGAGCAGTCCTAGTTGCAGGCTGTCACTCATTGTGATGCCGCTTTCCTGGGTGGAAGCCTCCCTGAGAAAATTTGAATCAGTTTCAAGGATCTTGACATCCCCTGTAGTGTCTTCCATCCCGCGCATTTCATTAAAATTTGCTGACATGA